GCTCTTAATTTTGCTGCTTTTGCCCCAGCTGTGTGTTATCTGCTCGCAAGCAGAAGCGCTGAAGCTGTGGGACTTGCAGCCCGTTCTCTCCCCCGAGTCTCCGGTCGCCTCTGTCGGGATTTAGAGGCAGCGATAGTGGGAGACCGGGTGGGAAACGCGCTCCGTCACCTGCGGAGATGTGTGTGCTGAGTGGGACCCTCGGCCGTGCTCTGCTGGGGCTGGACAGACTCGTCATGGGGTCACTCCTATAAGAGGAGACACGTATAGAACCCCCCCCTATATCTGTGATCGTCTATTCTTGGCTTTCACTTGGGATGTCTCCTGTGTTTGTGTTCCTCCTCACTCCTCCTCTTCCTGCCTAGGGAGAGACAAAACAAGTCTATCACCTGCTCCCTGAGAGATCATCTGGAAAAAGCTGAAATAAAGCCACTAAAAGGCCACGAAGGTAGGAGGAGGACAAGGTGGGGATCCTGAGGAGCAGGGTTAGCTTTTCCCTACTCCGGTCCTCAGGATCTTGAGCACTGGGGCAAAGCTCAAAGATGTTTCGAGGCATTTTCTTTGGTCAGGGCTTTGTTATTTTTATTCGTCATTGTCTTTGTCAAGGAAATTTGTTATTGGGCAGCTCTGAAAAGTGCAGCATTGTACAGCAGCGTGCGCCTTGCTCTACCCCGAAATCCTGAGCTCCAAGGTACTTTAAGAAAGGGATTGCTAATTATTTATGTTAGCATAACATTCAGGAAAGGCGCTTTCCCTTCATTCTTTGCTTGCTTCTATACCCAAAGGAATAAGCTGCTTTTATAATTTATTCCAGACTTCGCTAGAACAAAAGTTATCAAGTATTTATCGCAAGTTTGGCCTCTGTCTCTGGGAACGGATGTCAGTCAGAGCTCGTGGGTGGCGGTGGTGGTACGGAAAGCAGCGTTGTGCCAAGTTCTGGTGCAAGCGAGGAGCGAGCGGAGCGGTCCCGAGCGCCGCGGGGCCGGCAGGGTGGGCGCCCCCGTCACAGCAGGGCAGAGGGGGGGACGGTGCCCAACCTCCTCCCAGAGGAACGCGTTGTGTCGCAGTCCAAGCGCTATCGAACACAACATCTTTAGCTTATCAAATCTCAGCGTTTCTGTACAATCCATTAAGGTGCTAAAAGGGCTGCAGATCAACCTGTTTATTCTTCTTTGGGAGGTTATCTCCTAAAATCTTCTCTTTTGCTATTTTTTTTTTTTTTCATTTTTACCTTTCACAGCTGATTTTTCCCCTTCCGGCACCGGCTCTCCCGTCACTTTGCTTTGTTCTCAGCGGTTTGCCGTGCAGCCGGGGACGCTGCAGCAGCATTGTCGGAATGTGCCTGTCACCTGCCTCCTTTGATCTCAATATTTCTCTTATTTTTTTAATGATAATTTCCAACTTATTCTGGCCTAACTCACAGCGGCTTCTGTGAGCTGTCGGCTGGAGGAGGGGGGGGGAAAGTAAACCAGAAAGATGGCACTTAGGTAAATGCCACGATGTTAATTAAGGCCTTTCTCTCACTGGGATATTTTCCCCCTGTCTTGGTTTGAGGTAAAACGGAACCAATTTTGTTCAGTGACTTCGCTTCTTAGCTGGGCCTCTAGGCTCCTCTAGGGGAGCATCTGTCGGTCCCATATAGGGTCCCCCAGGTCCCCAGTAGCCGATTTGGCCTAAACCACGACATCCCCGCAGATCTGTGAGCGGTTTAGGGGAATGAACTGCTGAGCAGCTGTAAATTAGCTTTGGTTTTGTAGGGCAAAAAGGCACCGTCCCTGCCCTGGCGCAGCTCTTCGCTGGGCTCCAGCTGCCTGAAGCTGCTGCCTGGCTCTTCCCTCGCAGCTTCTGGGCACCAGCTTTCGGCCACTGGGTCCTTCGGAGCAGCGAGACCCCACATCCCAGGGCTCCCAGCACAGACACTGACCCCATAACGCTTCTAATAGCCCCAGGGCCCTCTTTGCCCCGGTGCCGCTGTTTGGACAGCCTGCCTGGGGCCGCAGGACCACGGTTGAGAGCGCACAGTGTGCACAGGCTGCGGCAGCCGGAGATTC